GCTGTTGTGATTCGCATTTTTCGGAACTTCCGCAGCACGTCATTTCGGAATTTCCGCAGAACGTTTACGGAACTTCCGCAGGGGACCCGACGATTTACCCGAACCTTCTGCGGAAGTTCCGGTCAGTTGTCTGAGATTACAAAAGTGTGAAAGCACTAAAGGACCATCCGCAGGATTTTTGCTTCAGTTTGGTTGAAAACGGGAACTTCCGCAGACATTTCACAAATATCCGCAGTGCGGAGGATAGTGATTAAGTCTCGGAGTCAAAGGAGGTGTTCCTCCTTTGCTGTTGTGGTTCGCATTTTTCGGAACTTCCGCAACACGTTTATACAGAACTTCCGCAGGTGACCCGGCGAAACTTTCCCAAACGTTTTGCGGAAGTTCCGGTCAGTTGTATGAGTCTGCACTTTCCTCGAGTTCATCCGCACATTTATTATTTCCATATCACAAAAGCTTAAGAGAAACCAATACCTGCCGTAGACATTCTACACAAATTTTTCGCCACAAACTTGATGCCGCGTGCGGTCGCGTCACTTTTCGGCGGAAAATATACAAGGCAGTGCCGGAGCAAACAAGTATAAACGAAACCTCGTTTTTTTTTCACTTCGTCAGTAAAACCAGAATCACAAACGCCTACTCTTTAACCAAAAGACCAAAATTACAAATCAGAAGTAGGAAGTCATCTAATCGACCGCGCATTAGGATTCGTGCAAAAAAAGCTAGTTTCCACATCATGGAAGGTCTCTTACTCTCATGTAAGCAACCATTAGTGGTGGACATCATTCTAAACTCATCAATTTGTTTAGTAGTCCTTACCAGACAATATACTTTATAAGTATTTATGTTCTGATGGAGTTCCGTAAAAAAACTAACTCAGCAAACTCACTCACTTTTTAGATTTCTCAAAGTTTCATGTCTTTGCATTCTATGAAGTCATGATATGTTCAAAGAAACTTGTTGTTTCAAAATATTTGCATAAATTTGGATCCGCTCACATTGTCAAAATTAGATTTCCCACGCAAACAGCGATGAACCATTGGAGAAAACATCTTCTCCAACTTTCACACACAAGTGATCCCGATTCAAACTACTCTCAGGCAAAAAGATCTCCTCTCAAATAATATATCTAATCTATATCCTCAGTTGCTAAATTCTTTGTCTGTTCTGTTTGTTTTTACTTTCCTATTCGTCATGTTTTCTACGATTATACGCCCGTATGTATTTTATGAAGTTTGTAAAGAAATCCTTGTCCTTCCAGCACGTGCTTGCTATTTTGACTTTAGCTTTCTTCAAATTTAGAGTTTTTTATAGTTTTAACCACTTCTACCAACCTTCTCTGAGTTGAGCTGAGAAAAATTCAAAACTAAGCTGCGGACGCCAAAATTTTTATTACCCAAAATTCCTGCAGCTTTTCTTTTCTCAGCTTTCCACATTTTGAAGCTATTTTTTTGAATTCCAATAAAGCGCACAATTATCACGCACATTCCACAAGGACAGCCTGAAACATCTTCTAACGTTGACAAACTCCAAGTATTGTTTATACTCTATCGCACTGACTGCTACGCGTCGAAACCGTGCCGCAATGGCGCAGCGGCGC